CGACATGGAGGCGAACACGCACGCCACGGCCGTTAACACCAACAAATTCAGACGCACATGCATTACTATTAAACTTTGAGAGTGGAAAAGGTCACTTAGCCCCCCCCCCCCCAAACACACACACACACAAACACACACACAAACACACGTTTATTAAAAGGACAAACAGTTCAATTTGAAGTTATTAAAAAAAATCAAATAAAAAGAAAAATGACACATCCGACGTGTGAGTGTTGACACCTGCTTCCTGGCCGGCAAAACGACTGAAGACGATGAAGAGAATGGCGAGGAGGAGGAGGAAACAAGAAGACGGCCGCGGAGAACGCGATGGGTGGGTTGGGGCGTTTATTGACACGCTGCGGCAAAGTCAGCAATTCACGCCAACGCTTCGGATGGTGGTGGGCGGGGCCAGCAACCCACCACGACTGCGTTGGGAATCTTCCACTCAATCTCTATATGGTGAACTTAGAAAGTTCCCGAAATGGTCCCCTCAAGATCTATTTGGAGTGATTAGCCAGGAAGGAACAAGCCGACGGTGTTTGGACTCCTTCCTCCTTCCTTCCTGCGCAATTACGAGATAGACGATTTTTACACAGAGCCGCCTTGAGAGCTGAACGGAACTTGTTCCTCAGCCACACCCGGAACCCGACATTTGTCTCTCAAATGGTCTGGGGAGCACTGAAATCAATGAAAAGGCCATTCGGGCCCTTCCAGCCAACCTCCCAAAAACAACTGTTGCTTTTCTGATGCGTTTTTTAACCGTCAAATAGCAGTCTGTGATATTGCATTTTGAGAAAAACTCATCCAGGTGACTTTTTGGATCCAGGTCACAATGTGCCGTAGAATAATGACATCATTCGACGTGTGACCGCGGGCTGTGCTGGGAATCGCTCCCGGTTTCCATACAGCGGACAATAAAGTTGGCTCTTTGGCTGAAACAAAACATCAAACACTCCCTACTCACTATTTGGAGACTTTTAGCTTGCCGTTAATCAACGATGCCAACTCTAGAAAAATGCCAAATGATTCGGAAACAGGTAATGAGTGTCACGTGACTGACCTTTGAGGGCGGGCCAACACGTCGGCCGACACGCGCGCCTTCTTCATTCTTGGAATGCGAGAGGATCCCCACGAACATCAAATCAAAGATGATCAAATGACCTGCAGCAAAAAAGGCAAAAGACGGGCCGACGGGGTGCGCCCTTTACCGGGAACGCGGCACAGCCTCACTTTACCAGACCCCGTTCACTTTTGTCACATTTTTAACTCACACCGCGACCGTATTTGGTCTCATGTCATTTCACTCACATGAATGCATTTTGACAATGTGACTCAAAGGCTTCGTCGCCCATCAGCGCTAATCTCTACTGGGCTCGACCACTTCCCTTTCAAAAGTAATGGGGAAGTGGTTTGGGCAATATTTTGGTTTTATAGCTTGCTCTTTTGGGCACTCTCTCAATCTTGTGTGTGAGAGCACATGAATCATTATTCCCCATTGCCCCATAAGTGCTCTTCCAATAGTGTTCTTTCTCATTTCCTTTAGACTTTGAAAGCCGTGGTAGAGGAGAGGTACCAGCAGGCAAAGGAGAAGGCCCAAGAGCTCGTAGCAAAGTCCTCTGCTGTGAGCATAACAGCAGATATGTGGACCGGCATCAACACAGATGCAAATCTGGCAGTCACTTGTCATTTCATTGATGAGCACACCTGTCTGCACTCAGCCGTGTTAGGTGTGCTCCATTTCCCTGACCGCCATACAGCTGAGAACACGGCTGGCTGAGAACAGCTGCCGTTCAATCGGCACTCATGGCACAATGGGGCGTTTCCACCAAGGTAACTTGCCTTGTGACAGATGGTGCGGCCAACATGGCCGCATGTGCCAGAGACCTTCATCTGATCTACAACTCGATCTACAACTACTGCAAGTTTCATGAAAATCAAAATCCGCTGGGTGATTTGGCATGGACTGACGCCCATTCGGGCATATGATGCGGGATCTTATTTGGAGTGCTCTAGCCAAGGGTTGTCAACATGTTTTTGTTTTTTTTTTTAATCAACCTGCATCAATTAGTAATTGCAGTTGTCAGAGGAAATTGGCCAAGTTCCAGCTGGACAACGAACACAAAATATCAGCAGATCCATGATGCTCTTTCATCATCTTTTCATTAAATGGAGGATACAATGGTAATGACATCATAAAGCTTTACATTGTACGTGTTCCTGTGCACATGTAAATGTTGCTGCCTTTTTGTTTTTGCTTTAAACAGGTACCATCTCTGCTTCTGGTCAGACATCCTCCGGAAAGACGTTCACAATGATGGGGAGTGATCATGTTCCTGGTGCCGTCCCACTGGCTGTTGAGGACGTCTTTGAAACCATAAAAAAGGTCAAACATGTTGTAGTTTTGTTTCATGTTTTTGTGATTGTGCTACATTTTGTTGGTCAATCTCATTTAATCACAGATGATTTCTGTTTGGACTGCAGTGTCCAAAGAAGGAGTTTCTTCTCAGAGTGTCTTACATAGAAATACACAATAGTTAGAACAAAATTCTGTGATAGGATTCTTTTGACACTTTCATGACTGCACTTTTCGATCATATCCTTCAATCTTTTGTGGTCCTCACAAGTTACTTTTCAAATTTAGTGTGAAAAATCTGTTTTTGTTTCAAAGAGACGTTCAGGTGAGGCTGCAGTGGTTCAAGTCGGTGTATGCGTTGGGAAGAATTCTCTTGCAAATGAACGAATTGAAAAGTTCTCTGATGGCTACGATTGTACAGACGCTCCCCTACTTACGAACGAGATACGTTCCGAAGGATCGTTCGTAAGTTGAATTCGTTCGTAAGTTGCTTCAGTGCTATATTTTGTATGGAATGTATGTTTAAGGCTTATGTAAGTATGTTTAAGGTTTATATAAGTATAATGAAATGAAGTTGAACTTACTTTTGGAAGATGTACTCGAAGGCTTAAGAAATTGAGGGTCCAAGAGAAGAAGACGAGGGTTGACGAGTCCTTGGAGGGTGTAGAGGGTGTAGAAGCGATCTGACGACGATTGCACAGTTTTCTTCTTTTTCTCATCATAAATGATGCAGTAGCACTGTATAGCATCATTCATTTGATTTGCAACCTTTGTGCAACGTTCAACATTCTCGGGTCTTGCTGCTCCAAGAGTGCGATGGCTTTATCTATGAGCGAAAACCCCTCTGCCAAGAGTTCCGTCTCAAACTTCTTCATGGGGACAGGCGTTTCCTCCTCCTCTCACAGCGCTTCACGTCGGTATTAGCAGCGGAAACAAGTACTACAGTACTCGGAAAAAGGCGCGCAATACAAAATCTAATTTACAGCATCTCTGTCCGAGAACATTTTTCGACATACCTGTACCCACAAAAATGTTCGTATGTAGCGTTGTTGGTAAATCGGGGAGCGTCTGTATTTTTAATATAATAAATCTGTTGAATTTTCATGAAAAAAAAAACTTTTATCAACGGGATTGGGGTGCAATGTCTTTCAGTGACGCCTTCATTCATTTGGCTTCATGCTGTCTGCTGTCTTTCCTCCCACCGTCGTCACAGTGAAGCCAAGTGCTCCATACGCTTCGTCATTTCCTCGTCTTTTCGGTAGACCTGCGTCGCTCTCTCTCTCTCCCAGTCTGTCGACTTCGCGTCAACACTTCACACTCAGACTCTGTGCCGTGTGCAAAGCGCGCATGCTCAGTGCCAAGAAAACACCGAACGAATGCTCCCTGCGCACTCTGCCAAGGAGAGCGCCACTACCCCCTAACGTAGTCGAGGTGCAATTGCACTTTATTCTCGGACAGGAAAAAAAGATCAAGATAAAAAAGCATGTTCCTCGAGGCCAAACGCCCCCCCGCCCCCAGGGGGGCGCGCACCACTATTTGAGAACCACTGGTATAGACCAATCAGGCAAAACAGTGTAACCACTTGTGCAGCATAGAAACATGTTCTTACTTTTTGCACAATACGTTGATAGGCACTCGCTGTATAACGGTGTCCTTGGGTGGCATGAAAGGCGCTCTAAAATGCATTTATTATTATTATTATTATTATTATTAAAAGGTGCTCAGTTTTGACATTGCACAACAGGTGTTACGTTTTTTTTTCTTTTTTAGATTCGTGTCATTTTTGTGACCTCAATTTGAATATATGAAAATAAATATTTGACACAGCTTTCAGAATGCCGACCCAAGCGAGTAGAATGTCTCATTGGTTGCCTGCATAAGTAAAGCTGAGTTAAGGTCTCCCTTGACATGAGCAGAGCAATCTTGATGACCAACT